CTTTTGATGCGACAGCCAATGCTGATTCGCAGCATTACATACAGGAATTGTGTAAAAATAAGTATATCTCAAATTTCATTGCTAGTTTCCTTAGCAGATCAAATAATTGCATGTAGTACTTTTTGTGTAATTGAGTAATGACCTACACAAAAGCCCTTGTAGACCATCTCATGATCAATTGCTAGTTGTAAAACTACTGATAGAATAATGTTTGCAACTTTAAATCAAGGGCCCTTGACAGTTAGGACTTGGAAATAAAACTACCATGTAACTACTGTAGGGAAAATTAACAAACAAACAAAAAAACAGGAAAGCACACTGTAAACCAAGTACTTTCTACATAACAGGATTCATCCAGAAGCATTCAAATGGAAGTGGCCTCCATGAGTATAATGAAAAAAATCTTTACTCTCAAAAAAATGAAATTAAATTAAAAAAATCTTTTTTTTTTTTTAGTAGTAGCAGCAGCAGGGTTTTTTCCCTCCCTGTAGGAACAGAGCTCCATAGAGTCTTGAAAGGTACAAAGTTCTTCAAAAGTTTCTTTTGTAAAGCTTCTGTACAACACTTTTCTTAACTAAACAACACTGTGAGTTATCAATAACAAAAATTAAAAATAAAATACTGCGGCTCCCTTTCACAGTTCTATTATCATTTCTCTGTGTCATTTCTGTAGTGTCATAAAAAATGCTGTTTTGTCTTACATTGTAAAATATGCACGTGCAGGGAAGCAGAGAGACATGATATAACCACAGAGACAAAGCGCTTCCAACAGTAAAATTAATCTGGTGAAAACATAGCTATTACTCACATTCTCTTCAAAACTATGACTTGATATTCCTCATTGCTTTTGTTTTCACATCCAGGTCTCATAATCCTTCTCAAATCCTTCCTCTAACCATAGAGCTATTTGCTTACCCCAAAAGTATATTTTCAACTGTTTATTACCCAATCTTGTCTTACTGTGGGCAGCACCCACTGCTTTTAACCTATAGTCAGTTTAGAGCTTGGTAAAAATATATGTGAAACTTGCCACACTACCAATTTTTGTGTCAGAAAATTTCATTACTGATGTTTCTACATTCAGGAGGTCAGTACACTTCTCATAGGCCTTTGCACACCACTGATGCAATCTATGCTGCTGCACAAAACATACTCCTGCCCATGAAAAAGCAATTCAAAGCATGAGCACACCTGAAGCTTTTTAGGATGACAACCTATCTGGCTGATATTTCAGGGTCTTTGACAGGTAGATAGACCTAATGCCACAGAGCACTGTATGACAGCCATTGCCAACCTTGGGTCAATTCATTTTTTCCCCAGAAAATCAACATCTAATACCCTGATTTAGCATGGGATTTTCATACAGACGTTTAAAGTAAAACAATGCATTTAACATGACCCTGATTACCTTTGAGTTCTTACTGGAATTGCTTTGTTCCTGAACATAACCACTTAATTCTGTTACTTAAAGAATTCTTAAGGAAATTCTGAACACCAATTCAGTCACACGGGGAGGAAGGTTTTTCTTTCCTTTTCACACATGGGAAAGCAAAGAATTGGAGAGCCTTGAGAGCATTCTCAAAATGATATGGCAGAGAATAGCATGTCAAAGATAGGTTTCAGTCTCCTTCATTCCGGCCTTGAGCTCCAACAGCCCTACAGCACAACAGCAAGAAAGGAGATTTGTCTCATCTTATCTTAGCTGTGGCTTACATGGATTACTGTATAGTTCCTCACCATCATTTTCCCATCAGGCAGCAGTCTCATCAGGAGAAAACTCCCATATTGATCAACAGGAAGTAGATTTCTGTACCTCGCCTGAAATTATGCATGAACCATCAAAGAGAGAAGTGAAAAAACAAGGGTTGAGTCATAAAGATGCATTATTTATATGAAATCTCTCTGTAATTGTACAAAAGCTCATTTTTCCTTATACAAATACAAGAGACCTGTATGGGTATGTATTAACTGACCTTTCTTCCACTCAGTAGATCTTGTGTCATTGAGAAGAGTTCGAATGCTACAGCTTTCAAGTCTGAGGTCTTTGGAAGGTCGCTTTTCCAGAACCAAGCTATTATACAATTCTTCAGCACAAAAGTGACAAAACCTAAAAGCTGGTTTCAGGTAAGGTGCAATGACACAGTCTGAACCCTTCTGCATTATGCAATTCTCTTTAAAATGCCTGCATCTTTCCTGTGACCTCCCTCCATTTCTTGTTACAGGTTCAGAAACAGAATTTTAGGCATGTTACTGTGAAGGACCACATTCTTTCAATGAAGTTATGCATACAGATTTGTATCTGTAGCTTCAGTGAAAAAATGTCAAATAAAGCATATCTTATCACAACTACAAATCTATTAAGGTATTTTTTCTTCAGGCTGTTCAGTGATTCAGTGACTACTCTGTATTTCTGTCTGCGAAGTCTGTTACTTTCCCTTAATTTAGCAAGTGCAGAAATTATAATACAAAACGTATGTCTGTTAAGGGACAAGTAATTCATGAGGTAAATATTTTTCAGCTCTGGTATAGTGCAGAATTACTGTAAACACGGGAGTTCTTTAAATTGGGCAATGTTATTTTGTCTTTAGAAAACCTGACAGTTTCCACAAGGAGGACACCAAGGGATTGGCTCGTTTTTAGAGATCAGCAGATGGACAAATTAAAACATTACTCCAGGGAATAGTGTAACTTCCACGGAGTAGGTAGAGAAGGACTATTTGTTAAACTACAAGCGCCCAATGCTGGAAACCCTCCATAATGACAAAAGCATGTTCTTCAAGTGACCTCCCTCCTCAGAGCCAGCAGTCAACTCCTGCATTTTGAGCGGGCAAGTGTCGCTGAACATGCATAAGCACAGCTCTGCTAAAGCAAACTAATGAGGGCAATGGGCATGCCCTGAGAGCCAGGTGCTGTTCTTGAGCTCAGCATGCTATTTCCTGGGCACTAGGTTATTTATCCTGTATTCACCAATGCCCACCCTGAGCTGGCAAGGTTCAATTTCCAAGTGCTTCTTTACAGAAACTCCTCCAACCAAACTCTTATGAAAACATCCTTCTGATGGAATTCTTGTGTCCCTTTCACAACAAAGAGGAAATAGTGCATGGGCAGCTGCAGTATGCAATATGTTCTCAACTGGAAGGAGCATAATACCTGCAGCAATCCTCCATTCCCTTTTAGTGTTTTTTTGTTTTGTTTTGTTTTTTTGTTGTTGTTGTTTTTTGTTTTTTTGTTTTTTTTTAATGGGTGACAGGTGAAGGACAGTCTGCTATAAATGGAAAAGATTAATTTGATATCTAAATTTAAGACCATGTAAATTAAAGGCTTCAGGATTTGACATAGAGATGTTAACCCTTTGCAGAGAAGGGCAAAGAAACCTATATTAGTAGAAAAAGGGACAGGATAATATATAAAACCAGGTTTGCTACAGGGGAATATGGGTGACAACAGTTTCTACATAAGGCATCTGCAATGTTACCAAGGCCAGGAATCTCAGGGGTTTAAACTGTTCCCTTTGAAATTACTTTCTTGAAAGTAACTGTTTGAATAATTTAATCTTTTTAAGTCCAACCCTAATGTTATATAGCAACATTACCATCACCACAGGAAGGCTACACCAAAAGAGCACCTACCATGTACATTGCGTTTTTTGCTTTCAAAGCATTCAGTAGTGGAGCATGATATAGGACAGTAATAATTGACAGCTTATTTGCTAGGTTGCTACATTTTTGAGCCTACAGTTTACTTCTAATGCAAGTTATCATGGCAACTTCTCATGCTTAAAATAATTTTATATAATTAAAAGCATGTTAGAGACTCAATTGATTTCCCACTTAAAATCATCCTCCTCATCTTCTGCCTGGTCATTTGCTCTTCTTCAATAGCATATCTAACAAGTCAACCCTTTGCACAGCCCATTTTTCAAATAAATAAATAAATAAATGAGTGGCCCAAATTCAAAACCAAAGATGTTATCTCTGATTCACCAATGAAAATCCTCCATAATATAGTAAGAATACAAATAAAGAGCTACATTGTAATTGGTGAAGTCTGTATAAAATCTAAACTATATACAGAAATACACGAGATTATCTTTCCAACTACAATCTAACCTCAATTTCCTTTCCCTATATTCTGTTCATACTAAGTCACCACACCAAAAACATGCACATCACGTCTTAAACCCAAAGTGTTTACATGGTTTTAAAACATTCCATAGGAAATTTATTTCCCCCATTACAGATGCTATATACTAAGATGAGAGTACTGAAAATACTGTAAGTTAATCATATGGAACAATGTTCCTATCCTTTGAGCAGATTAACAAAAAATATGCACTCACTTCCCTTCACTCAGATCTTGGCACAATGCAAGGTTTATTTTTTATTGCTTCTTTACACCCATTACAGGGCAGTAAATTTCTTTGGACATAGACTTCTTTTCCCTAAGTTTCAGATCAAAGGAAAAAAATTGCTGAAGGAGATGCATCAGATGTAGTAAAAAAGCTAACTCTACCTCTTGGTTTAATGCCAAGAAGTATAACACTGAAAGTTACTCCTAATGGAGAATAGTGAGAGGAAGCATGTGCAAAAAGATATGGTAATAGTTATTTTGAAAATTAATTTTTAAAGAGAACAGTACTCAGCTTTGATAGAAAGTGTTTTCAGGGAATGGGTAGAGGCCATGTTGAACTTCCTTGCACAGCTACATGACCTCTGCCAATCAATGTCAACACTTTATTAATATTTTACTGAAAAAGTGTGAGATGATTCAAACTTCGGCTGTCTTGGTAGATGTTGCTAAGCAACTTTCCTGCTTGTCTGAGAATTAGTTTTCACTGCAACCTTTCCTTCAAATCAAAGACCTGTGTCACTTAAAACACTTCGCCTTTTGCCGAGGAAGAGCCCAGAAAGTTCTACCCCCTCCCCTTTTATATTTTCCTCTCCTTTCCCTAGTTGAAAGAAATCAATTTCATAACATCTGAAATCCTCTGCTTTACTCACCGTAATCACTGTCATAAAAGACTATGAATTTCTGCCATCGCAACTCAGTGACCAGTTTCAGCATAACGTCGTTGAGGCGGACTGGTGGTCGGGCAGCCAGTGTGTACTCCTCTTCCTCCAGGCTTGGGTTCAGGTGGCAGGCCGTGCGCGGGGAGCCTCCCGTGTTACGCTGCACAAAGAGGTGTGGGATGTGCATGGCATCCGTCAAGGACTGCAGGGCGTTGGCCGAGGCACAGCCAGTGGACGTCACTAAGGCTAAGATCCCTAGGGTCATCAGGTCACAGGCTGGAGAAGAAAAGAAAGAAAGTAGAGTTGAAGCAGGCTCAAAAACTCCTTGACTGATCTGCATGCTATGAACGGTACAAGACAGGCTTTACCCTTGCCATTTACACAGAGCTGAAGAGATTTCTGTTACAGTATCAGCTGAAGCTTTTCAGAGATAGGTCCTGTACCTTTACAGTAGGAGACAGTATCTGCAATCTGTACAGATAAGACCAAGTTGAGAACAGATACCATTACTGTCCTCATTTCTTCAGACTGAAGCCAATGCAAATGGAGATTACAGCCCTCACTGCGAGGGCTGTAAGTGCACCACCCACCTCTAACGTGGTCATGCACATTGGATGTGGGCTTTGGACAACGAAGAGTGATTTCAGTTTCAAGGAAGTTTCTTATACAACAAAGTTTTGAAGGATTTTTAAATTGATGAAGAAACATTCACTGCTTGCCTCTCAGAGCAACAAGGAAACAACACAAGTGCTCATTAGAATGAAGGCAAGTCATGAATGACTAAACACTTATTAATAACACTGTAGTTGTCTGTAAAAAGATCTGGGAAAGCACGTACCACTTAAAAACACAGCATACACATTTGAACCCACCTGCTTCAAAGAATGAAGCGTTACCAAGCTGGAAGCGCAGGGAGGGCAGTGATGGTGGCAGAGGCCTGTGTGGCCTGGATGTTGGCTGCCGCCCTCACAGCTCACTCCTTCTGGTCAGTCACCCTGATGTCCAGCTGGCGCTGGAAAGGGTTTCCACTCAAAGCCCCTAGCTACACCTCAGCAGCTATTTAGTCAGTAGTTGTGGTACAGTTTTTCCCCGGGAGCTCCTCAGACAGCACAGTGAACTCTCACCTGCCTTGCAGCTCGCTCCCCGGGGCAGCCCGTGAGGAGGGCTAGGGGATCGCTCAGGGTTTCACACACACAGAATTTCTAGGTTGGAAGAGACCTCAAGATCATTGAGTCCAACCTCTGACCTAACGCTAACAGTCCCCACTAAACCATATCCCTAAGCTCTACAAGTTACAAGTTTCAGCAGCGTTGGTCCCCGTGTGACCACCTGCACAAGCACAGCCTGCCCGAAGGAAACCACCCCGCTTCCCTGGGTGCTGCTTTGGCACAGAAGAGCAGGCTGCCCACGCATGGCACATGCTATGGGGCTGCCAGGGCGTGTGCCGGGCAGGGGGGCATATGCGTCCCCCCAGTCATGGAGCAGCTCCGCCGGTCTCTGGTGGAAACAGACTGAGCAGAGTGGTAGGAAAATGAACACAGTGTGCTAGAAGGATTTCTTTGTCTTCCTGTGAACACTTCCTTTTTTATCTCCACATTCAGAGGCCAAAGAGCCAAAGGAGTGGGACAGGTTATGAATAATTATTAATAATTAACTGTTAATTATCAAATAATTATATAAAGCCAATATAATTAAATACATAAAGCTGTGCCTAATGCAACCAATGAATCATTTCACCAAAGATCTTCTTAGAACAGACAGAAAATAAATACTTTTCACTTTTATATGAATAACAAAAAATGTTTGATCCTCTCTCCATACAGAGCATTCAACATGTATCCTAATGCAAAAGAGAAAAATGAAGTGCTTCTTGATGGTCTTTACAATAAACATATGTCAGCTGTGTTATCTAAATTTACTCTGTGTTAATTATAGTTATATGAAATTGTTCTTTGTTTTTCTTGAGAGCTGACCTGATTTAGCAGTGGGGAGTCATTACATTTGCCAAATGGGAGACCCAGGTTCAGGAACAGATTTGATTTCCCAGGCTTTTTGCCAGAGAAAACGGAACATGCCATACAGGTAATTTATTTAGTCACAGTAGGGGAGGGAACAGGAAACAGAGAAGTGGGAACAGAGGGAGAGAACAGCAGAGCTGAGCTATAGACCCCTGCAGAGAGCACCAGCCAGCGAGCTTTGCCACCACCAAGGGCGAGAGAAGCAAAGCCACACAGATCCACAGAAGGAACAATTTACTTGCACAAGCAGACGGGAGAGAAGAAACAAAGCCCTTTCTGACAGGAGGCTGCATTCAGACACTTATTCATGGAATATAGAACTGATCGTCAGTTGCGTGACAAGAGATAACTTCATTCAGCAGTTGACACTAATAAAAAGCTGCTCACATACTAGCCGCAAAGAGACCAGAGACATGACAGACCACAAACAGCCCGCATTTCTCCCCACACAGCCCAAAGAACACAAGCTGAAATACCTCAGCAATGTCTGTTTTGGTTGAGGGACTTTCACTGTTTCACAGTTTGTACCAATGGGTTAAAATGAAGAATTAGTCAATCAGCTTCTACATTCTGATATTTTGTCAATTGACTGTGTTCTGCCTGAAAGTATATGCTACAAAGTGTTTTCTTCTCTTGCCTTTGTTTTGCGATAGTACAACAGGAAATATAAACTGGAATGACTAAGGAAAAAGGTTTCGTATATTCTGAATCACGTTTAGTCAAATCACGGAATGTGAAACAGTGCATGTTATTTTCAATAGAAGACTTTCGCTGAATAAAATGTGACTGATTCCAAGAAGTTCAACCTCTCCACCCTTATTGTTCTGAATGCTGAGAAGCTTTTAGCACATTAAGAAAAGTTTTTTTTTCTACATGAGTAACACAATAAGGAACACAATTACAAAGTACATCAGACTCCAATTCATTAAAAAAAAAAAAAATCTCAAACTCTTAAGACATCTTGAAATTACTTACCAAGATAATGTTGAAAGGATTACAGAATCCCAGAATAACACTGGTGAGAATGTTTAGGATTTTCTCTTTGTTGTCATCCCCCCCTATTCCCCATGTCCCCAATGTATTCTTATGCTTTATTGAACACAATTTTTTGTGGCATGAGAAAATATTTGTAATTTTGTTTTACTTTATACTAGCTATGGATTTTGAGCATCCCTGACCACATGACTGAATAAATGAGTAATTCTATACCTCAGCTATAGTTTCATAGGCACTCAAAAGAACCTGAACTTTTTGTACACTAATTTCATAATCCCCATCCTTATTTCCTTAAAACTGAAATACAGAAATTTGAAGCACTGTGGTTCATATAAACTTAGTAACAAGGGAGAGATGAATCCAAACACATTGACCTTAAGCAATCTTTCTTATTTACTAGAGATGTACCACACTTTCATCTAGTGAAGATGTTTTCCTATTTATTTACCCTGAAGGTAATAATCTCAAATTTCAAGAAATAATGCTTTTAAGTCTGAGTCCTACCGATAAAAGACACAACGTTCTAGCAATCTTACCTCCAGATTATTGCTATTCATATAGCAGTGAAATTATTAATTTACTGTATCAAATGTCTTCATTGTCAGGATACATTTTAAGAGGATACCAACATCCCACAAGCCATACTGCAAGAAATGTGCACGTTAACCTGGTGAAAACAAGATCACCATACTTAGAGAATAAATTGGCATTCAAACTATTTTAGCAGATAAAGTTATTTCATGGTAGGTTTTGGTCAATATTTTCTTCTAACAGCAGACCATCTCTCAAGTTTATCCTTGACTGTTTCCTAAATTATCAATTAATCTAATTTATAATCATCTCAGTGAAGCATCTCTCCTAACCTATTCTGAAAATGACTTTCAGCAACTCCCTTTTTCAAATCTGCTTGACATGTTGTCTTAAACTGTTATTTCGATGACAGAAGAATTGATGAATTCCCCATCTATTGCATGATTTTCTAACATTTACCTCCTCTGTAGGCAGTATCTTTTTCTAGGTTTTGTGTTGGATGTTATCTCTGTCATGATATTGGCAGAAGTAACACAGGTTTACATTTTTGGGTAATCTTCTAACACCCATTTTTCTAACTTGACTCTAACATCATAACTATACATAGTGAACTTTTTCACATTCTTGGACCACACCTTGATCTCCTTTAACACCACAAGCATGCCTCAAAGACCGCTTATGATTTTTTCATACTGCACCTTATCTCTACTGCCTTTATTAACATATGGGACTCTGTGGCATATAACACTAGAATTCTGCTTTTCTAGAATCACATTTAAGATCTTGCTGTTATACAGTTGCTTCCTGTGTTGCCATCCTGTTGCTCAAGACGTGTGGACAACAAAGTTTGTCACCATGTTCATAAGGATATTTGTATTAAGGGCTTTAGCTCAGATCCCCCTATAATTAAATCCCTCTCTCCAAACTACATATAATCAAAATACTCCAAAATAAACTGTTATCTTGCTTCTGGCAACATTACAATATGACTATCTTTCAGCCTCCCCTTTCAGTGGTTTCCTATTATTCAATATAGGATATGAACTTGTTCCTTTGTTTCCACAGTTATCAATAGACCAGCTGCCACTAATTTCTGATCTAGTAATATATCCACCTACTGGCATTCACACAGCCTCTTCAAACTTCAAAGCCTTGATGTCTCTCACTTCTGTGTATCGTTACAGCTGGTCCTACCCACTTTGAACCCCATCAGATAAATCCTCTCTCTTTTCCTCGACATTTTTTCTTCCTTTTCCAGTTTGACTACCCCTTAAGAGCTCTTCACTGCACAGCAAATGGAAGATCATCCTAATAAAACAACTTGTGCTTTAAAAAATTTCTACTGTTTGAAAATTGAGAGGTTGCTGCCTTTTTGCTTAGAAAGATTTTCAAATGAAGAGAACATCAGATGCAGCAAGGGAATAGAAACACAGTCACACTGCACATACCTGGTGTTTCTGATGTAGTAGCCTGCAATGAAATGATTAACAAAGTTGGCACTTAAGTGTTTGTAATTAGGTTTCAAAGCTACCATCCCGCTGAGATGAGGGACTTCACATTTGCCTTAGTATTATCGTCTCAGTCAATTTGGCTGATAAGTTATTTTTCACAAAGCTTATCTTTGAAAAACAGAAGGAAAAAGAGTATTATCAGAACATCAATTTCAAGAAAACATAGAAAATTCTGGGAAGAATATCTTTTGGGAAACTAGATCACCGTATTTCCTGAAAT